TTCGAATTAGCTTCGAGCTTTCATATACAATTTAAAAGGTGTAAATAAACCTCACCAAACTAATGTTGAGATGTTTCGCCAAAATATCATAAGCTGTCTCCATAAAACTAATTTTATGAAATTAGTTTCGCCGAGAGGACTCGCATTTTAACCTGGAATCACTATAAAATTACCGTCTTGTTATTAACGTGTCGTTTTGATTTTTTCTCTGTTTTTATTTAATTGATTTTATGTAAATCAAGAGAATATAACTATGTATAAAGGAGGAAAATATGCAATACTTTTGACTCTTTACAATTTTAATATAGCATTCTCATATCATGACTTTGAATGTACTGTATATGGTGTCACTTGCTTATGTCCTGCTTGACTAAAATTTCCATTCGAAAATTACTGTTCCAGAAAGAGTTTAAAAAGTTAAGTCAGTGTTCGGTAATCAGAAAAATTTAGAGAGACTGAACATAAAGATAATATGTTAGTGGGAGGAGCCTATNACATTCTAGCCCCAGATCAACTGGCCCCAGTCATGAACCAACAATAGAGCATGTCATCGTTAATTTTTACTAATCAACTTTTAGCCTTACATTTTGAATTTTTATCTACTTTTGATTTTAGACTTCATAGACTTCTAGTCAGACTTTTACTTTTAGACATTTACTATTTGGACTTTTAGCTTTCATTGATTTTAGTTTTGAGAATTTTTTTTAATCTCTTGTTTCCTTATTATTATAATCATTTAATTCTCGACATTTACACCGGCGCTATTGGGTTTCATTGCCTTTAACACATGTTTTTAATTGTCAAACGTTATTGTTAATCCACTTTTAACTGATCACCACCACTGTCATTTGGCGAAATTTTACTGTAACTTTAGTTTTTAGAGAAATTTTATTGTAATAATTTTACTTTTATCTCCGTATACCCCCATGGGGTGGGTCGGAGTTCAACCTACTTACACCAAGTAAAGATGTGGTGGAAAACTGCTTTCGTGTAAAGTTGATGTCACCATTTTTGGTGTTCTGATACACTAAAACATTTTCCAGTGTACACTGTAAAAAATGTGTTGTATTATCTCTCCGAATTTCATGTAAAGCAATTAAAAATAATTGTGTGCAAGAATATTTTCATTCGAATTAGCTTCGAGCTTTCATATACAATTTAAAAGGTGAAAACAAACCTCACCAAACTAATGTTGAGATGTTTCGCCAAAATATCATAAGCTGTCTCCACAAAACTAATTTTATGAAACTAGCATCGCTGAGAGGACACGTATTTTAACCTGGAACCGCCAGAAAATTACTATTTTGTCATTATCGTCTCGTTTTGATTTTTTTTTCTGTTTTTGTTTAAGGGATTTTATGTAAATTCAGAGAATATAGCTTTATATAAAGGAGAAAAATATGGAATACTTTTGACTCTTTACAATTTTAATATAGCAATCTCGATTATGACTTTAAATGTACTGTATATGGTAGCACTTGCTAATGTCCTGCTTGACTAAAATTTTCATTCGAAAATTACTGTTCCAGAAAGAGTTTTGAAAAAAGTTAAGACAGTGTTCCGTAATCAGAAAAATTTAGAGTGACTGACAATTAAGATAATATGCTGATATTTTATATTTTAAACTTATGTTGTAAAAAGTATGATTTCGAAATGACAACATTTAAGTGAACAGTTATATTCAAGTAAGTAAAAGAATACAAAATATTTAATTCTATGATAACAGAACTTTCCTTGAAAGAAAAGCGCAAAGCAGCAGATTTTCAAAAGAAAGAATAATTGAAGCAATAAGGAAAAAAACTATGGAAATAAAAATATGGCCACCGAAGCCGACGTCTTCAGGGGGTACCAGCTCCGGAAGCCATAGAACAAAACCTTTTCTATTGAGAGAGCTAATTTTGACATTTGTCCGCTCTCTCAATAGAAAAGGTTTTGTTCTATAGCTTCCGGAGCTGGTACCCCCTGAGGACGTCGGCTTCGGTGGCCATATTTTTATTTCTATTGTTTTTTTTTCTTTATTGCTTCAATTCAGTTATATTCATATTATAATCAATAAACTACTGAAATATTTTAATTCATCTAGCATTTCATAATATTATATATTTTATTACTTATTATTATTTTTTGCCGATTTGCATGGAACAAAATGAAAAGGAATTGACACTGGAGTTTAATCACATTTCAATACGTTCGGATCAAAACTAAAGCATTACTAAGCAGAAAATAATTTCTAATAATTCAAAACTAAGCCAGAAAATAATTTTTGTTTTTATTTCCTCAAGAGAAACAAAATGAGAATGATTCTTTTCTTCATTCTCAATAATGAAAGTTATCAACGAGGCTGTTTTGGAAGGTCTTTGACATGTTTTCTGATGAAGCTGAGGTTGGCATCAGTTCTCACAAACAGAGAAATATCGTGTTGCGCGCATTGAGTATCACCGTAAGAAACCACCGCGACGGTATAAAATCTATTTTTATGCTGAAGGAAACCTGAAGATCCAGAATCACCCTAGATAAAATAAAAATATCAGAAATTTTTTTTAAAAAATTGCAAAAAAATATTTGTATTTAAATATTTTGCTAAAACTTCCGATTTCTGACAACTTACGTGCCAGTTAGCAGAATTTACAGAGTAAATCTGCAAGACTTGATAAATTCTCCCTTGATAAATTCAAATTCGCCTGCGACCTCATTTCTGTCAGACAAAGAATATAATGCTAAAATTCAGCTTTATCTAACACACAGGTAGCAGAATTCAGGGAGTAAATTTTCAAGACTATCTTGATAAATACAAATTTGCCTGCGACCCCAATTCTGTCAGACGAAGAATATATGGTAAAAATTCAGTTTTATCTAACTTACAGGTAGCAGAATTCAGGGAGTAAATTTTCCAGACTATCTTGATAAATAGAAATTTGCCTGCGACCCCAATTCTGCCAGACGAAGAATATAATGATAAAAATTCAACTTTATCTAAAAGATATGTAGCAAAATTTGGAAATATATAGTACATAATTATACATAAAGACATTATTTTGTTTAAATTTCAGTTGAGCCTTTTACAATGGTAATAAAAATATTGGAGAAATCCCTGTACAGCCTGCAATCAAGTGCCATAAAAAAAAATTCTTTACTTTTTGTTCTTTACAATATTTTCCCAATTTCACTTTTAAATTTTAATTGAAGGAAACAAGTTAAGAGAAAAAAGGAGTCTCAGCAACCATCCCCTAATTTTTTGTTTACTTTTTACAAATAAAAAGAAAACTTAATCTTCAGTACCCGTTATTTTGCTGAATGCTTACCGGGGCAGTGTGTAAGTCAAATACAGATTTTTAAACTGAATATAAAAATGTATTTATAGCTTAAATCGGAACGTTTTATGCATTTGTTTGAAGAGATAAAGTGATGCTCGTATTAGTAGAGTTAAAGTAAAATTGGGAAGAACACTTTTTATTATAGATGCATAGGAGGTGAAAATGTAGAAGGAAACAGAGATTTGACCGAATCATATGCATACAAAGTAAAGCTGTTATCTCACATAGGATTAACTGCATCCCGTTGTACATATAGGATAAAAACGTAAATTTAGGGTAAACGTTAAACCACTATTTTGTGTTTGCATTTAGACCCAGTTTAGCTCTTTCCGAAAATGATTTTCACAACTGGTAGTAAGATGACAATTGAATTATAATTGTCGACAGAAATAATTCTTCTCACTTTGCCTGAAACTAAACGTACTATTGATTATTTTGCATTTTTATCTATGTTTACTTAATTCATATATATACATTACTGGTCAAATTGAAAATTAAATTCATTAATTCAAAATTTTAAAGCAAAATATAAATACCGCAACCACTTTAAATAAAGAAAGCATTATTATCAAAAATTTGTAAGACTTCGCTGATATGTTGGTAGAAGTAAATTAAACAGCATGTTATTTTTCTCTTACTACTAGATATGTGGCTAATGTTAAACGAACTTCGAGGAAACTGAACTTTCATTTCAAACATTTTTCATTGCTACATGGATACAGTAAAATGAAAAGAGAGTAAGTACCATTTGTAAGTAGGAACAAAAATGACGAAAAAATCTAGGCCTGATTTGAGCATGGACATCACTTTCTTAAAAAAAAATTGAAATCAGCGGAAATTTGAGGGCCCCCAAATCAGTACTTTACCCAGGACGTCAATCAGGCTCGGTGAGAAAATTTAATGTAAAGTGAATCTTAATTAATCTGAGCTTTTCAATCACTTTGAAAGCGGATTTCAAATTATTAATGCTTTAATACGATGAGCTATTATTCTAAACTACTGTGTAGACGTCTATTTATACTTCAAAAGTATTGTATGGCACATTTTCTGGTATTTTAAATTTTCATTTCTTTTATTCGCTTGGATACGAACTTTAACACATACGAAAATGTCCATGAAATGATTGGACATTAAAGAAAAATAAGTTTAGTAATTGATAAAATTTATTTTGTCAAATAAATTTTAAAAAAGATGCTTACGAAGCAAACCCTTGTACGTCCATTTGCCTTTCCACAGATGTGCATTGATTCGCTATAATCAGGAGGACACTTCCTGAAGTCAACAATACGTGAAGTACCTTCTCGAAGTACTTCTGTACGATCTGAGCCAAACAAAAACAAAACAAAATTAAAATATCAGAGTATTTTAAATTCTTTGGGTAACAGACAAAAGTTGCATCTTGTATTGTCATCAAGTACAGAGTTTCAGTTAAAATTTGAGCAATTCGGAGAATGGTTTGAATTTTGAATGGCGATAAATTCCCCTTGATGATTATATCGTGATAATCTATGTTTGTAGTAATCGAAAACCGTTTAATGCGTCCAATGTCCTCACGTACGACGCTTCTATAACAAGTGGAGTAATCTGGCTAGGGTAGTGGTTANTAATTAACTAGCATTGTTTTTAACAAATGAAGCTGAAATGGCGTCTTGGGGACGATTTTAACAATAAGTAAAGGAACGATTGCTACAGCTGAAAATAAATAATCTTATGTTTACAAACCATTACTTAACTCATTAAGAACCACCAATAGTTTCCTATATCATTTATATTATGTTTCATGTGCATTATTTTATTTGTCACCTTTCACAGCATAAATAAAAAAAATTTAACCCCTTAAAGTTAAAAGTTTAACCCTTTAGGTCTCTGCTCATTATTATTTTTACTCCTAAAATATCACTTCTATTTTGATAAATAAAAAAATATATCAAAACTATGATAATATGTATAATTAACTATGTTTTAGTTGAATTTATGAACTGTTACAATTGACTCCGTAAGTGGGGGCAATTGTAACAAGTGCACGACTGTCAAAAAATTTTAATAACTAATATAATAACATTTAAAATAAGGTATTTATTTCCTTTTTTCTAGTGGAGGATAGTCTACTTTACTCGTCTATCAATTAATACTAATAATATATTGGACTTTCTGTTAGTTAAAAATAGTTAAGTAAAAAATGTTACAATTGACCCCACTCTCCCCTACTTTACCCAGGACCTCAATCAGGCCCTGTGAAAAAATTTAATGTAAAGTGAATATTAATTAATCTGAGCTTTTCAATCGCTTTGAAAGCGGATTTCAAATTATTAATGCTTTAATACGATGAGCTATTATTCTAAACTACTGTGTAGACGTCTATTTATACTTCAAAAGTATTGTATGGCACATTTTCTGGTATTTTAAATTTTCATTTCTTTTATTCGCTTGGATACGAACTTTAACACATACGAAAATGTCCATGAAATGATTGGACATTAAAGAAAAATAAGTTTAGTAATTGATAAAATTTATTTTGTCAAATAAATTTTAAAAAAGATGCTTACGAAGCAAACCCTTGTACGTCCATTTGCCTTTCCACAGATGTGCATTGATTCGCTATAATCAGGAGGACACTTCCTGAAGTCAACAATACGTGAAGTACCTTCTCGAAGTACTTCTGTACGATCTGAGCCAAACAAAAACAAAACAAAATTAAAATATCAGAGTATTTTAAATTCTTTATGTAACAGACAAAAGTTGCATCTTGTATTGTCATCAAGTACAGAGTTTCAGTTAAAATTTGAGCAATTCGGAGAATGGTTTGAATTTTGAATGGCGATAAATTCCCCTTGATGATTATATCGTGATAATCTATGTTTGTAGTAATCGAAAACCGTTTAATGCGTCCAATGTCCTCACGTACGACGCTTCTATAACAAGTGGAGTAATCTGGCTAGGGTAGTGGTTAAAATTTCGATAGCCAGACTGTATCCCCACAAATACGATAAAAATGCTAAAATCCTTTACTACAATTATTACTATCATTCCTAATCTAACGTCACCATTTGAGCCAAATTTTATTTTAAAGTTTTGCATTTCCTTTTATAATCAGTTTATCTAAATAAACAATTATAAAAAATTATTTTAATTAACTTTTTAAGCCTTAAAATGTTGACTAAATATTGCTTGTCAGATTAATTAAGTTTTGAAATCTTTTCAGTATAGTCATATTTGAATATTATTAATTCTCAAGAATCGACAATACTTGATAACGCTAACTAGTTGCTTCGCTTAAAATTTTAAATGATTGCTTTCTGGCAGCTACTGGACACAATCTACTGTTAGAAATATTTAAGTAATATTAGAGTCAAAATAAATCCTTCACTTACAGGTGATTGAAAAATATAATTTAATAAATTTGAAAAAAAAAATTATTGAGATTTGAAGACAGAAGTGAAAAAGTTATTGCGATTAAATGTAACGAAAAGCGTTATTTAAAAACAATTTCCATTCAATTTCTGTTAAATCTTATTTCATCAATACAAAAAGTGCTAATTTTTTATCCCATCTATAAAAGTTTTACTTTATACATTATAAAAGCTCTTTAATATTCTAAAAATAGTGTTTTTAGAAAACTTCACAAAGGTATGTCTTCTGAAGTATTCTTTAGCACAACATTAAAAAAATCTAATTAAAATCGATTTAAAAAATAAATAATCAGAAATAAAAATTTTTAAATTTAAAACATTCAAAACTGTGTTGAAACGAATTTTAAATTTTACGTATAAAGTTAGGCATAAAACAGTACCGTCTTAACGCATGGGCACATTCGGATAGTGCCAGGAGCTCCCGGGCACAAGGAGGGCTTATGAGAATCTTACTTTTCATATATTATGATAAAAGAAACTAAGAGTGAACAAAATTACCTTATATTTTTTTCAAAATAAATATATTCTGTTGTATAAAGTGTGCATTTTGTTTTTCTTTAGACAAACAGTGATTGATTATCATGCAAACACCAATAATTTGAATAATTTATTCCCAGGAAAACTTAAAAAAGCAACTGTGATGCCACAATTGGTATTACATATTTCCTAACTTTTAAAATTATCTTTAATAACTTAAACCTATTTTTTTTTTCAAATCTATCTATCTATATTATATAGAACGCTAATACGTACGTATGTATCAATAAAACCGATGATATTTCTTTTCTCGCGTTGGCAACAGTATTCATTTTTAATTGATATGCTTCGGCGCGCAAAGAGCACGTAGTGAGCATCATATGGCTAATCTATATTATGTAAAACGCTAATACGTTTTAATTGATAAGCTTCTGCGCGCAAGAGCACGTAGTGAGCATTATATGTCTAATCGGGTGAATTCTCAACGAATTATCAAAAAAATGCTCTCAAAATTATCTTCATCGAAGCCGATGCTTTACATCCGGCGTTCAGTACTATTTCACACTTAAACGGTNTAACGAATTACATGTCATTTATTTGAATTCAAATTTATTTTAATGACTTAGTATTTACTAAAAAGATGTAATTTTTTTTAAAAAAAAAAGTTGTTATATGGATTTGACTGATTGTTTTGAATTCTTAGAATTTTGTGCATTTGGAATGTACCTAAGTAAGTAGCGAGAGAAGCGAGCTTGGTTTGCGAAGCAAACCATATAAGATTGCGTGGCAAATTTCGGGGGTTGGCGAGCAGGGGGCGCAGCCCATTAGTTATCTTTAATTACTTAAACCTATTCTTTTTTTCAAATCATTATTAATCCAATTATTTTAAAAGTAAATCAATGAGTTAATCTTTATAAAAGCGAACATGAAATATTTTATTCTTTTCTTATCGATCCAACTTTTTATTTTAATACTAATATAGACTCATTAACTCACGAATCAAAAGTTTATTTATAACTCCTTATCATTAATTTCTTACCTCAAATATGTTTCAGTTACATGGTTATTATAATTCCCACAGTTTTGTTAGCGACTCGTGATCGCCAAAGTATTTTCAAACCCAATATTGATTATGCGGGGTTGGCTTTGTTTTGGCTAAGTTATATTTTGATAATTCGTCAATTTTGAATCTCCCATCCATGCTTCTCGTGTGTCCGTTGGGAACAAATGCATTTACTTGTGGCGAAAATAATTTATATATTTCGATTTCTTTTTCATACTCTTACGTTTTTTTTTTTTTAATTTAATTATTTTAATTAGCTTCCAGGGTTTCGAAAATTATTTTACTATTTCAGGATTACAGCTGGATAGCATCACAATTTTTCTTTAAAAAATTATGCATAGTTTTAAAACGCTTTATTTTATATGCATTGAGTTTCTGGGGTAACCAAAATGTGTTTAAATTTGTGAAAATTATTGCATGTCTTAAAAATGCTTTATTTTATTATGTCAAATTTTTCAGTTCGATTTAAAAACATATGACATGTTATAGCGGCCAAAAATATTTATGTGCCAGGGGTTCTGCATGCTATTAAGACGGCTTTGTAGTAAGGAATAACTAACTATACCTACTGCTCACTGTTATTACACCAAAACCAGCAATAGTCATTATCTTGTCAACTGTTGCGATATTTTGACGTGGATCGACACAAATTGGTTTATTGTACCGAGTGCAAGGAACGGAATTCTCTAGTTCTATAAGGGCCAAGTCGATGCCAGTGTCAGGATGAACAATGAAGCGTTTGGCCCGCACTGTTTTAGCAGGTTTCTTTTTATTTTTGCCTAACAATCCAATTAGCACCTTTTCCTTTCCCCTGCAATGCACAAATCGGGCACCATGAAGCACATAAAAAGGTTTGGTTAAAAGGAAAGGAAAATTAATTTAGTCATTTTCATAATAAACTAACGTATCACACTAAAAACGAAAGTTTAAACATCACAATTTAAGTTTTGTTAGAAAATAAACACAACGAAGATTCTGCATGAGTATAATACACTGAAGAGCCAGAAAAACTGGTATACCTGCCTAATATCGTGTCCCCGCGAGCACGCAGAAGTGCTACAACACGACGTGGCATGGATTCGATGAATGTGTGAAGTAGTGCTGGAGATAATTGATACCATGAATCCTGCAGGGCTGTCCATAAACCAGTGGGAGAAAGAGGGGGTGGGGATATCTTCTGAACATCACGTTGCAAGGCATCTCAAATATGTTCAATAATGTTCATGTCTGAGGATTTTGGTGGATTTCCGATACTCACGGTATACTCGTGAAACGGTCGTACGTGAAAATCCAAATTTCATCGCTATCTCGGAGATGCTATGTCCCATCTCCCGTGCGCCGACTATAACACCACGTTCAAACTCACTTAAATCTGTATAACCTGGCATAGTAGCAGCAGTAACCGATCTAAGAACTGTGCTAGACACTCGTTGTCTTATATACGCGTTGCCGATCGCAGCGCTGTACTTTGATTGGCTCCATACCCCTTTATTTGCATACTCATGTCTGTACCAGTTTTTTTGGCTCTTCAGTGTATATAATGTGTCTCACTTACCATTATATACACTGAAGTAAAGTTGCTTTATAAAGTGTTTATAAAGCAACTTTAACTTTGAGTCATAATTTGTCCCGAAGAAAACACCATTGAGAACCAAACATATATATGTTACATACATGAAGTAGTACTCCAACACTGAATCACCACCTCTTAGTGACAGCAGCGCCATCTATTCCCCTAGAGATGTGCGGAGATCTACCTTTCGAAAAGCCTGGTTTAACAACCTGTAACAATCTTGCTATAATGTCCAATTAAACAGATTTAACATTGTCTTATCCTTCAATAACCACCACCATGCACCAACATATAGTAAAAAACGCATATCTTCAAGGAGTTCATGTTCATGTTCTGCGTGACAGGAATAACGTCGAGTAAGTAAAAAAGTGTCCTTGCGAAGTGAAACAACTTGTAATTATAGCTGATGTTATCGCCGTGTTTATGTACGATTTTTGATATGTATGATGCTGTGTATCGTTTTACTAAGTTCTTGAGGACGTTCGTAACTTTATGACAAGTTTAAATGATGGCATCCGCCAATTCTGCAACTAACTGAAACTGCTACTTTTTGCCATCTACAATCTTATTAAGAATAGCCCCTAAGTTTCCTTGAGTCGTCATATCATGTCATAAAAAAACAATATTATTTCTTTTCCATTATACAGCAAAGTGAAAACTCATTATTTCTGTTAGAAAGTCTCTACTATGATGGCAAACTTAACATAGCTTCTATCCCAGGTTGCATGAATGCTATCAATTTTGAAATATTCTAAATATCCCTTTAATGTCATTTGCAGAGAGAATTGGTGGTTCAGGTAGGAATTTCCAAAAGACAATGCCTTTATTTGCGTCGCAAAATCTTCACAGAGTTAGTTGTAAATAATGGAGTAGATGTCATAAATATGCTATCTTCTTAGCAAATCCAGCTTTTTTTTTTCAAAACTTCGAAGTGTTGTTAGCTGCTGATGAGTAACAACACTTTTCATTACATTTTTCAATGCTTATATCGTATTTCATTATTGTATATTACATGCATATACTCTGATTTTCGTCATCAGCTTTTGCGCGTGTCTATTAGAGTAAAATAGCTTTTTATAAATTTTTTTTTAAATTTTAATTATTTTCTGAATACTAATATGATATATATGTATATATATTTCGACCATTGTTAAATTAAATAATAATAAATCGTTATATTTTTACTTGGAATTGTCTTCAGAAAAACGAATTTTATAGTTGTACACAAAAGGTTTTAATGTTTCAGAGATATATCGAAATTCTCATAAAGTGAATGCAACGTTAAAGGCCCTAACATTTATCCGATTACTTGACTTAACTATTTAGACTATGTTTCTGAGATTGGGGCTACCCTTCCTATGTTCTTAAGGAACAAGGTTCCAAAATACTATGTTTATTTAGTTAAATTTTAGTCAAATTTCGTAATTTAAAATTATGCAATTTAATAAACAATTTAATAAGCCATAGTTATTATTAATTAAGGTTATAACCATAACAACTGCATGTAAGTGCATAAGATTCATTTTACTTACCTGGCGGGAACACAATGCGCTGCCGTTAAGACAAATGTTGGGGAAATTAAAACTCCGCCACAAGAACCCCAAGGAGGGTTCGATTTAGAGAGTATCAAACCAACCTAAAAATTAAGTTCCTTACAATATGATAGTGGTTCTCTCAAAGTTAATAAAAAAGGGAGTTCTTAAGTTTTATGTATTAAAAGAATTTGCTAAAGGCTGTTCATAAAATAAGATGAAATAACCATATTTAGCGAATAAGTTTTTAAGATTGTAACACATATTCATGATTGTTAGTTTTTGTTCATCTGCAGGACTTACATCATTCATGCTGATTATGAAAATGGTAGAAAATTTAATCATGAGGAAAAGCTACATTTTATTAAAAGTGAAAAATTTGTGGACAAGTTTTATTAATATGGCAATTGATAATTAATATACTGCATTGTTTAGGCTTATAAAATATGACGAAAAAAGAGAATAGTTGATTTTAATGATGTCCATCCAGCTGATAGTTTTTTTTTTCTACTAAAGGGAATCAGCCCTGCATTGTTTAAGCTTATAAAAATTTCAAAAGATAAGAACTATTCATTGATTTTAATCATATCCACCCAGGAGGGGAAAAAATGTTTGTGAATTAAGTTTAAAGTCTGACATGAGCTAATAATCAGCTCAGATGTTTTAAAGAAATCATCTGAGTCCAGACAATTCTTTTAAGAATGCCAGCATATACAAAGAGATTCAGCACAGCGCTAACATTTTGAAGGAGAGGTTAGGGCTCATAATAATAATTGATTTTGCTTTACATTTGGTGAGAATTGAGTTTGTTATAATTGGAACTGGTGAAAAGCTTGTCTTAGGAAATTTTTTGAAACTTAAATATTCAATTTGATTTTTACTTTAAGTAATCATTTTCAGCTTTTTTTTAAAAAAAGTTTAACGAAAATTAAATTTTCTTCCCTTTATTCATATTAACAAAAACGTTAATTCATTGAGCAAATAAACAAATCTAACAAATTTGGAAACAGAATTGTCAAGCTTTCTAGATTTCTTCAATTTTGAAACAGAAATGCTCACAATCAAAGGATTCTTTTTAAACCTTAAATATATTCGTTTCTATTTTAGTTCAATTATAATTAATTTAACCTTGTTTTAAAAAGATAATAAATTTTGATTCCTTTCACTTGTATTTACAAAGAAAAAACTAATTCAATAGGCAAACAAATATAAGAAACTTAGAAACAAGTAGAATAATCAAGCTTACAATATTTCTTCAAACATTGAGAAAGAAATACTTACAATCCAAGGGTATTTTGTGTAATCTTCAACTATTTCTCCATTAATAATGCGCTGTTCAACGAAATCAGATACACCACATGCTGTAAAAATTAGGTAAAAAAATTAATTTAATTCGTAACTTTTTCGCTGTTAGCAGAGCACCTTACAACAATAAAAATAAATTTTTTGGTTAAAGAGTGAAGATGGGTTAAGCATTTTTTCTATTTCCTTTTAGTTCGAAAATACAACTTTATAAAATATTATTTTGGTTGAGAATTTTTGAAAGGAAGAATTTTGGCCAAAAAAAGCGGTAAAATATGATAAAGTAAAGCGTTTTTCAGACATTTAAAAAAACACATAATCAATTTATTATGGACAATTGATTTATTATGGACAAGCCATAGGCGTTTTTTGTTTTCAATTAAAATAGAAATTTGTCTAGTAAAGAAGACTGAGTAAATCCATAGGTATAACACACTATTCGATTAGAGTATTTTCGAAACCAAACTTAGTTCTGAAAATAAATAAAACTTATGAAACGAGTACAAAAATGCACCTGAAAACATTTACTGAAAAAATATTAATTTTTCTTATTCTGGCATTTTTCTGTGCTCATCTTATTCTTTCAAAATTAGCGAATTTTTTTTCTTCCCTTAATGTTGTAGGCAAACTCCCTTGCATTTTTTTTTACTGTCTTATTCTTTCGAAATTTGAGATTTTTTTTTTTAATAATTTTGAATTAAATGTTTTTCATAAAATGTTGAAATTAATTGTTTGAAATTAAAATGTTGAAATTAATTGTTTGAAATAAAATGTTGAAATTAAATGTTTGAAAAAAAAAATTTTTTTCAATAAAATGCTTCTTTTTTTTTGCTTAAATGGTTTTTTTTTAATAATATGTGTTATAAACAAGTTTTTGTGTTTTGCCTTAACATTTTTTGTAAAAATAACTTGCAGATTGTGTAAAATTTCGATGTGCGTTTTTATACCGCCTGAAGAATAAACAATTTATTAAAATTAAATCAATATTTTACAGTAAACATATCTCAACGATAATCGACTTTTAAAATTGCTGTTATTTATGGTTAAATTTGCAGTTTCAAACAGCCTATCATTTCATAACTTTTCTTAAATAAACAAAAAAAAATTTCAATATATTTTCAGTCTTGATATCTATCTGCAAACAAAATATTATGGCGCAACATTGTAACTTGGGGTAAAAAATTTATTTTCCTATGTTAAATTAAAGAAAATGCGTATATGAACCAGGAGCTCACTTTTTCTAATGTCGACATCTATTTTCTAATCGAAATTCTCTTTGGATTCGAGAATAAAACAAAATTCCTTCGGCATTTGATTTTTTACCCAAATGAAGTAAAATCGTAAAATCCCTTAGCCTTGTGATTTTTCATTTAGTGATATGTGAAAACCACATGGAAGAGCAAATTTTTGTTTATACCAAATTATTTTCTCTCATTTAAGACACTGCAAATAATCAAAATACTATTTAAAACATGTTATAAACTTAAAGAGAGTTTTAATAACATGGTATCTAAAAAAAACATTTAGTTACTTATAATGATGTACTAACAGTTTCCATGTGTAAAAATCGCGTTGGAAAGTAGAAAGCATTTTTTAATCATTGAGAACGCAGTACTTTAAGACTTAAAATATACTGCGCAATAACACTTAAAGGTATATTGCCTGCATGTACGCATGTAGCAGAAAGATTTTTTTTTTCAAATTTAAGTTTCTTATTCATTGTTTTATAAATTTTATTGCTTTTTTATGTTATTTTCTTTTTTATTATTTTCTTTTTCTTTCATGATTTAGTGGTTTTCTAGGACATAACGTTTTCCTTTGTTTTCCTGCTGATTTTCTGCTTGTTTATCCAGTTCTGTGATTGCAAACAACATGCATTTGATAATGCTCAGCTAATTCAGCTATAAAACGTATGTCGCATGATTTAACTGACTTTTGGCTTTTATTTGTAAAGTAAATCGAAAAGAAATTTTTTAAACTCACGACATTCTTCACGATAGCCACCTCTGTTATGTTTCCTAGAATGTACTTTTCCATTTACCTGAAAAGGTCAAATAAGAAGCAAAATAAATAGATTTTTATAAAAACATTTATTTATTAATTTTCAATTTATTTACATATTTAGCTATTTGGAAAAAATCTTGTTTCGTTTCAAAATTGTTTATAAAATTGTTCATAATACTGGTTGTCAAATGAATTATTATACGTAACAATATGCCTGGAAAATGTAACAATTTTAGACTTTTTCAAAAAAAAGTAGACAAACTTTCAAAATTTTTAGTATTGTGATTTTATTTTTCATCATGCATTCCTCGACAGAGTCAACGGCTTACGAATAAAATTCATTGACTAGAAATAATACGTTTTACTCGTAAAACGCGTTGTTTCGTACCTAACAAAATTATTTAAAAAAAATGCTTCTAATGTGTTTTATTATCCACTAAGAGCGAAATTTTGCTAATGGGATATTTGTTTTGCTTAAAATATTACCACGTGTTGCAAAGAATATAAATAAGAATAATTTGGTGCCAATTATAGTTAAAACTGAAAAACTTCTCAAAACGTGGAGAATTAATGAATAATTTCCTAATATAGTAAGTCTTGTATACTGAAATCACAAAAGGAAAACTTGAAAACTTGCAAGACTGTTTTTCGTACATTGTATTAATGACTAATTATATCAAATCTAAGAAATATGAATTATCTAAAATTTTTGAATTATTTTAATAATATGATATGTTTTAAATCCAGAAACGAAAACAGTATCCATTTTCTTACAAAAGCAATTAGAACAAACTATTTTAAATCCAAAAAAAAGTGAAAAGCTCAAATTATTTAATTAGTTTCATAATATAGTAATAATATTTACATCCAGAAATCCATTTCAATTTTAAAGAAAAGAAAAAAACAAATTAGAAAAGCGCAAAAGAAGAAGAAAAAAACTCAAAATTTATTTTCTTTTAAATATTTAAACGCTTTATTCCAGCTCAATTACATTTTTATAAAAGTGCTTTGATATTTGTATTCGTTCATTACTATTTACTTATACGGTTAAATGGTTTAAAAAGAATAATATAAATTCATAAATTAAGTAAATTTGTTTTTCTATCGCTAGTATCATATAGAGTAAATATCTTAAATAATAATATAAATATATACATAAATAAAATAAATTTGTCATACCATCACTATTAATTTATACAGTAAATAGCTCAAAAAAAGTAATAAAATAAATCCATACGTAAAAGAAATAAAGTTCTTATAACATCCCTCTTAACTTATAGAGTAAATACCTCAAAAAGGAACAATATAATATACACAAATGAAATAAATTTATTATACTCACACATAATAATGTAATCAAAGACAAAGTAAAACGTAAAATTAACATGTTTGAAAAATTGTATTTCATGAATCTATTTGAATAAAATATTTTATAAGTTATATTAATATTTATTATTTTACTCTCCAATTCCATAAATCAATTCCCTTGAAAAGTTATGTTATCCAATTCAATGTACTACCGTTAAAGGTTGTCAAACCCTATTTCATTCATTATTTGAAATTTCTTAGAACTATTTCTATCGACCTGGTAGATTTATATTTGTTACTTAAAAATATCAAAAATGACATTTAAGTATTTGTTGCACAAAACAATAATTAGCTTTGAAAAATCTTTTACGGTTAAAAAGTTACGAAATAAGTATAATAGTTTTGAATTCCCAGAACTAGATCATAGATAGTGATAGACTCATTTGTTTGACAATGCCTGTTGAGAGTTTCCGCTTCGTTGCAGATACAGTGATGAATTTAAAATTAAAAACAATATTGTGGGACCTGGTGTGGTCATCTGACTTTTCTCTTCGGTGACATATTTTTAGGATGATGGTCAATTCCCTAATTTCGATAGCTAATAATAAGAACACCCTAAATAAAAAAGGAGAGTGCAGTTTTTAAATTTTCTAATTATATCCTAATAATGATCCACAAATCATCCTAATGATGAACAAAAAACAAATCTAAACTCATTATTTAATTTAGTCAATCCTTTGAAGTTGAATATATTGTCACACAATTGCTCAAAAACTTTTACAAATCTAAACTGAATGCAAACTTTGATCTTTTATGCTATTAATATTTTGTACCTATATTTTAATTTTTTGTTTAAATATTGGTGTTTTTTTTAATATTGGTGCAATTATATCACAGCAATTATTTTATGTTTGTTAACGAAAAATATCAGAAACTGAACCGAAAATTTCAGTTCTGAATTACAGCAATTTTGAAACAATGAAAAATTTAATCTTAGTAAGCATTTTTTTCTAATATTTTGCGCATTTTTTTTTTATTTCTTAAATAAATTTTCACCTATGTATGCAAAAAGGACTGTAATTAAACATTTAGTATTGGAGAAAACTAGACATTTGCCAAGTTTAACATGGTTTTAGATAGTAAAGTTTAGGGCAACATTTTAATAAATTAGGTAGAAACTAACGCAATAGTGAGTCCAAACTTTTTTTTAGAAAAATATATTAAATAAAAGTATATAAAGTTTTGGGTCCTGTATCCTTCCTTCTGTTCATCTGACTTTATTCCTCGATGACACATTCTTAAGATTGTGATCAATTCCCCCAAGATTCTGATAGTCTAAAACCAGATAGTTAAAGAGAAAAATCGAATATTAAAAATTCAAGTATTTAGCAATTCAATTTTTAAGGAACTATTGAACCAATTTCGTTCAAATATTTTATTTTGCCTCATAAAACTATGTTGTCAAAAAATTTAAATGTTCTGTATACCTTGCAGTTCAAAATATTTTTGACTCTTATTAAAAAAACATTTTTAAAAAAATAAATAAACATAAAAAGTCTTTTTTTCTGGAAATTATCATCGTATAAATGAGTCCGTGTGCGGCCTCATTTATACGATGTTCAGTTAAATTTTCCTGTCTATGATTCAATGCATATTCTATACATTTACAGTTCAGATGAATGAGTTTATGATACCTCTCAAGAAAACTGAGATAAATAAAACATACAGGTAAAGGAATTTCTGTTTAGAAGTTTTTCTATAGGCTTTGCACTACTCTACATCTCCTACGCTGAAAGACCAATTTCGATAAAGTGCTCAGAAGTCGAAAATACTGTTTCCCTCATCCTCGTTAGACTTAATTCGTTGCCCTCCAAGTTTAAAATATTATAACATTTAGTTACTCTAAAAAATACAAAAATTTTTTCTCTTTAGACTTCGTAGTTTTGAGATTCAAATGAAACTTTTAAATTTATAATTACTCTATATTTTAAAATAATACAGGCAAGAACATGCAGTTGCACGTATGTGTACTTTCGTTTTTTACAAATGTTTTTTCCCCTTTATTCCTAATGTTTTCTTTATTAACAAGCTGAATTTTTTCTTAAGATATTAAATCTAATCTAATTGCGATATATTTTAGAAGAAAAAACCCAGACATTATAGCATTTAGTTGTCACCATAAATGAGAAAGTCCAATTGTTAATGTCTGAAGGCAAAATATTTGGAAGCACGGGTGTGTAAAAGACAATCCAAAAAATTGAAATAATTAATTTATTTATATTTTAAATTTACCAGTTTTATATTAAGAAACATTTATATAAATAATTAATAATCTTAATTTTCAATATAACACAAAACGATGCAATTGTACATTTAATACAACGTTTCGGTGGCTAATATTGTATTTAAATGTTGGAGTGCTGGGCTGTTGAGATAGATAACATAATGTTCAAAACACGCTTAAATTACTTCAGTGCAAATTAGTGAGTAAAAATGTAGGCGTTACTTTCATTAAACTTTGAAGGAAGAGCTTAACAAATGCCTTCTAAAACTAAAATGATTTTGAGCTTAGTCGAAATTAGTCCGATTGCGGAGGGAAGGCAGAACCCAACTTCGAAACAGAATTTTTATAATTATTTATTTAATTTATCAAAACGTACCGGGGGTTTACTTTCTTTAGGTAGACACTGGTAGTCACGCCCCCGGGTTGCTCTAGTGATCTGTCCTCCCTTCCTTTTCTTTGTCATGGTTGCTAAATTTACTGGTGATCTCTTTTTTGTCTGTGTTCCATTACCAGCCTGTTGTATCGGGCAATCATGAGAAGAGACCGCCCACGTGTTCGCCCTGCATGGAGATCCGTATCCTTGGAAAAGGGGATCCCGGGAATCTTGGTACCCCAGCACACTTCTTTGACCCGTGTTTCAGGTAAACGGAAGGTCCATATTGGCCTGTATGCATCACCCTGCTAGTCACGAATGTCATCTGTCTTCTAGGATCAAACCCACGGTCACTTACTAGGCACATCGTTAAGGTTGGAAGCTGACTCACGGGAGTATAGTTATTGGTCAGTATCAGTGTTAAGTAACAGATTACCTTGTATTTTTTGCATCCTCTTTAGTTGGACTCCGTCAGAGATGCCAACTTGCTCCGGGGAGCAAATAAATATTTTAAAGAGGTAGTAAGTATATCAATTGTGATATTTGGTTTAATAAAGTCAATTTAATAGAATTTTATCCAGCACTATTTCTAAATAATTCGTAGACTTGTATAATTCACAACTTTTCAAAACGTTAGTCATGCTATAGCTTTTAAAAAGCAAGCAAAAATAGTCAAATATTTGCAAAATATAGTTTGTAGCTATTTACCGTTTTTTTAATTATTTTGGCGTGTCCGGAGCAGTTGGCATCTCTGTTCCGTGGTGGGAGGTACCACTGATTGTGGTTCGATGGCTGAAAATGACAAGGTGTTCACTTACGCACACCATGACAAAAAGCGGAACAACCCCTTTATCGTTAAACTACGCTCGATATCTTATTATCAGTTTGACTAATCCAACTGAACCGAACACTTTCTTTTTCCAAAATATCACCGATCGTAGTTCATAAGGCTCTTCTCTCTCCTGACAGATGGTAAAGAAACTACGTTCAGGGGATCTGTTGGTGCAGGTCACTTCTGAAAAACAAGCATTAACTCTGTCTATATGCATTTCACTTTACTCATTTACTGTAATCGTTATTCCTCATAAATCACTAAATACTTCCCGAGGAGTAATATCAAAATTTGATTTTATCAAAGACTCAGAGGAAAAGATTTAAGAAGCATTAAAAAATGAACATGTTGTAGCAGTACGTAGAATTAAGATTCGCAGGAATGATAAAATCATTCCAACGAAACATCTTATCTTAACGTTTCTACATCCCGAAGTACAAATTCCACATCACTAACCTCAAAAACATCCCGAATTTAATCCTCTGAAACATTTCGTTATTTATAAAGCAACGAACGAATGGGAAACTTCTACCTAGAATGAAACCTGACTTCATAAAAACATAAAAAAGACCCTAGAATATTCTCATCAGTCTGTTTCTAATGTTTTACAGAGGCTGAACGATACTGTAGCGTTACATCCATCTGATGACGAATCTATTTTCAATGACTCACCATTGGACGTCTGGACCAGAGGTCGCCAAAATGGTCTATCTGAACTCCCAGGGGTCTATTTAACAAAAGCGGGGGTCGATCTGAGCCAGGGGGTCAAATAGGGGTCTATCCGAATCGAAAGGGTCGATTGGGGGTAACAAGCAAAGACAGTTCAAACAAAGACCAAGAAAAAACAGTTCTTAACACGTAAATCACACATACCTAATTGAGTTTGTAAAAATTTGTGAATTTTTTTATAATTGATTTAATATCATTTACTTTATAGAGCATAAATTAATAAACTTATTCGGTTGAAACAAGTATTTACGTACCAGCGCGCAGTGGCACGAACTCAGCACTTCTGGTTTATAATTCATATGCGTATGTGCGCTTGTCCAAATGTCACGTGTGACGAGCATTGACGTTATAAACGCAAATGTCATATGTAGTTTCAGCTATCTTTGCAAACTGTGAACAGTTTTGAATATTTGCAGTGTCATTATTAAAACTTTTATAGTTTTTGATAATTAGTTATTGTTTCGATGAAACCATTGGTTTAGTTTAGATATCAATTTTCATTTCAATGCATGTAAAAAAGAAGGTAAGCATTAATAATATGAATAAATACAGCGAGACAAAACTGTAGCACACTTTGTATTTTTTTGCGAAAATTAAAAAATTTTTGAAAATATTTATTTTAATATGTGTGTCCTTCACTGTTCTTAAGAATAACAATTTTGTATGAAATAAGTTTAATTTAATTTCCAGTTGGTAGTAAACAGCAAGACAGCAATATGTACTACTAACTGGAAATTAAATTAAACTACACACACCAAATTAAAGTAATAATATCTTCAAAAATTTTGCGATTTTCGTAAAAAAATACAAAGTGTGCTATTATTTTGTAGTTGTTTAGTCTGTATATTATACTAATTTATTTTTAATTTATTTATAGAACCCTAATTGAAAAATGGCAGCTTCAGTTTCTAAAAAGAAATGTCGGTATTAGTAATTGGATTATTTAAAATTTAGATTTATTTGTTCACCGACAAATGAAACAATTCCTATGCGTCTTTTACGCGAAAAAAAACTTTTGAAAATGACTACATGAAACAGACAAAAATGAAAGATCATCTTGATAAGGTTCACTCAGATAAAAAAATAAAAAAACTTGAATTTTTCAAAAAACTTACAGAAAATTTCAAAATCGACCAACTATAAAAACTTTTATGAAGCTGGCTACTGAAATTGAAACTGAAGGAGGATTAATAGCTTCGTACAAGATTCACCTTAGCTAAGAGGGAGAAACCACACACAATCGCTGAAGAAATTGTTATACCTGCAATTAAAGACGTCATTGAGGATGTAATGAAAAAAAGACTTAGTTACTGTTTTAAAGTCATTGCCATTAAGTGCAAATTCTGAAAAACGGCATATCGACGAAATGGCTGAAGAAATAGAAAATACGGTAGTTTCAGAGCTAAAAAATTGCAAGTTCTCTATTCAATTTCATGAATTTGTTTTTCACGTTTCTGCTATTCTCACGATGTACGTTAGATATTTCTGTAAAATAAAAGGACAAGTCATAGATGAATTTTTATTTGCTGAATATTTTGGAACTGATAGAAAAGGAGAGAAAAATTTTAGATGTTTAAAAGAATATTTAAATAATTATGATATTCCGCTTGAAAATATAATAGTGGTAGCCACAAATGGGGCACCTGCTATGGTAGGGCGTTACGTTACCGAAGTTTTGCATTATTTCTCAAGGAAAAAGTGCTCAATATACGTACTATTTATTCATTGTGTGTTGCATAGAAACAACTTAGTAGCAAAATATCTGAATCCAGAGTTACATAAAGCTTTACTGTTTCGTATTAAGTGTATCAATCAAATTAAAGCCCAAGCTTTTAAATCAAGATTATCTTCCAAACTTTGTGAGGAAAACGACGAGTTATTTAACCAATTACTTCTGCACACCAAAGTTAGATGGTTGTCTAGAGGTGTATGCTTGCAAAGGCTCGATGAGTTATTTGACTCCACGACTGAATTTCTCAGCGAAATTAACCCTGTTCTGAGAGATAAACTCCAAAACAATGAGCATTATATTTTTTATTTAGCGGACTTATTTGAAAAATTTAATGATGTCCAAATAAAGCCGCAAGGAAAAGATGTAACAATTATCGCAGCTAAAACAATACTGTTAGGCTTCCAAGTAAAATTAAATTTATTTGGATCTTCATTGCTACCTAAGGATTATTAGTATTTTTCATATCTGAGGCAATTAAAAATAAAAGAAGAAGACTTGGAAATAGATACAGGTCATCTTCANCAAAATTACTTTGTTGCAATATAATATTCTAATACCAAAAAAATTACTTGCGTAGCGTGAAAATATCTTTTGTGATGTAACTCTTTCAAAAGTACCTAGAAATGGTTGCCAGCAGGGGTGTACATGTAGATTTATTAAATACACCCTGTGCACCACCTAAGAACCAAATCTAAAACCCGACACTCGAAATTTTTGCTCTGTTACAATCGTACCCTGTTACAATTGACCCCACTCTCCCCTACTGTTAGGCTTCCAAGTAAAATTAAATTTATTTAGATCTTCATTGCTACCTAAGGATTATTAGTATTTTTCAAATCTGAGGCAATTAAAAATAAAAGAAGAAGACTTGGAAATAGATACAGGTCATCTTCAAAAATTGAATGGTGGTTTTAAACTGCGCTTTGTTGATTTGGAAAGCATTGACATCTCTGATTGAATTATTGAGCCATTTTCTGCTCAAATTGAAACCGTGGACATCGACCTGCAAGATGAGCTTGCTGAATTATTATCGGATCTTGAAGCAAAGACGCCTTTTAAAAATTTATCAATACGCAAACTTTAGACAAATATAAATATAATGCAAAAATATGTAATACTTTACGAAATAGCTCAGTTATTTATGCTAGCATTCCCATGTTCCTATATGGTTGAAAACGGTTTCAGTCACGTAAATTCAATATTAAGTACAGAAATAAATTAAACGTGGAGTTTCGAGGTGATTTAAGATTAAAAATGACCAATTTTGAACCCAATATAGTGAACTTTGCAAAAAAAACACCAGGCACACCCATCTCATTGATTAAGAAGGGATAAATCTGAAGTTACTTTACTTATTATTTCTACTTATTTGTAATTACCTATTATTTAATGAATATTAAGGTATTTAAATTTCAGCATTAATATAATTTTCATAAATTCATAAAATTAATAATTATTATAAAGTTACTAAACTTTTTTAAATGAAAATCATCAATTTGATGACATTTTTCCAACAGGGTGAAAACTATCAAATTCACTGAGAACACCACACCAGCTGTAGAAATGCAATAGAAATAGCTGTAATCACGAAAATTTCGAGTTACTGGACAATTGATCTAGTATTTGATAATATTTTTTGTATTTTATTTTTTTATTTTTTGCTGATTAGTAAAGAACAAAATAAAGACGCACTAAAAGTAGAATTAAATCATATTTTAATATTCTCGAGTAAAATCTAAAATTCGGGACACAATAAACAGGGAATAATTTCTGTCCTCCGAAGAAATAAAACCAGTAGGATTCTACTCATCAACCTCAATAATAGAAGGTTATCCCTATGGCTGTTTGGAAGGTCTTTGACGTGTTCTCTGATGAAGTGAAAGTAGGCATCGGTTCTCACGAACACAGAAGGATTCTTAAGTTCGCAAAGAATATCACCATAATTAACCACTCCCACGCTATAAAACGTATGTTTATGTTGAAGGAAAACCGTATTTCCAGAATCCCCCTAAAACATAAAAGGTATGAAAATTAGAAGAAAAAAGTAACATTAAGCAGGTAAGAAAACGATATTATTTAACATTCGATGCAATGTAATACTGAAAACGCAAGACTCCGTAAACTTGTTTACTAATATTAAAGGTAATGTTATATGCAATTAAATAATATTCGATCTTACATTTTAACTCCTAAGTTTATCGTCTATTTCATTAATTGAGGACTAAGGCCCTTTTTTAGGAAAAGAGCACATTATTAATAAATAAAAGTTTATTCATAAAATGAAAACAAGCATCATTTTTAAAATATCATTTTTCATCAATACAAGATTTGGACTGAAAACGCTAGAAAATATTATAGAAAGTAAATTCGTTTCACGAAGGATAAATTATTGATATGTAATTTTTACCCGATTGTTTCCATCACCATAGTATTTGTGGTCGCCAGCTAAAATGAATCACTTCAAAGGTATTTATAATTTAGTAATTTTTATTAAACTTTCATTTTTGATTACTTTTATTTTTAACGTAAATTTGTATATTACATATTAAAATATGTGTTCGTGCATGTGCGACTGCCGCGCCACCCCCTTTGAGAAAGACCTTTTTATACCTTGAGAACTTCATGAATGGCGGACGTAGTCCGTGAGTCCTTAAAAATAAAGTGTTCTACAGTCCACTGCAAACCAGCCCACTGCACTACAGTCCACTGCAAAACACAAAAACTGTTCTTTTGAGTACGGCTAAGTGTTTTATTAAGAATAAAAATTCCTTATGGTAGGAAGTTAGGTGCTTGCTAGATTCAGGCTCCCAATCATGTTTGATTAATCGCAATTGTTTACAAAATCTTAATTTGCCTTACGAAAAAATGAACACACAAATTTCTTGTTTGAATAATTCATCGATGAATATAAATAGGTGTGTTAGGACTTCGATTTCAAATAAAAATAAGAGTTTTGAAAAGGAATTAACCTTTTTAGTAGTTGAAAAAATAATTGATTTTACGCCGTCGAAATTTCTTAATGCAGCAGTTAAGGTCCCTGTTAATGTTAGATTAGCTGACGAAACCTTTTTCATTTCTGACAAAATTGACGTCAAGGGCAAATCTTTTTGACCCCCTAGGGATAGCCGGCCCTGTAATAGCCAAGGCCAAAATATTTATGCAGAAATTGTGGAAATTGAACATTGACTGGGGTGATCCACTTCCTGCTGCAGAATCTCAGGAGTGGAGCGAATTTATTTCCACATTGAAAGGTGTGAGTAACATTAAAGTTGATAGGTGCATTACAATAGAACAGTCTAAAACAATCGAATTTCATGGATTTGCTGATTCATCGGAGAGTTGTTATGGAGCGGTCGTTTATTGTAAGTCTTTCAACTCTGCAGGTGACATAAATGTGAAATTAGTTGCTAGCAAATATAGAGTTGCCCCACTTAAAGCCCTAAGTATCCCCAGACTGGAACTTTGTGCTGCAGTCTTGTTGTCCAAGTTAATGAAAAAGATACTTTCCGCATTAAAATTGCAAACAGACAAAGTTTACCTTTGGTCTGATTCCATGATTGTGCTAGCATGGATTCAAAAGGAGCCAACGAGTCTTAAGACATTCGTGAAAAATAGAATTGCACTCATACAAGAACTGACGCTAAAGTCCCAATGGAATCATGTGCCATCCGAGATGAATCCCGCGGACTTGATATCCCGAGGATTGGACCCTGTGAAACTTTTAGAGACAAATTTATGGTGGAAAGGCCCTAATTTCCTTTATGACAATGAGTATCCTAACCAAAACTTTCCTGTGTCGCAAGAACTGAGTGTCTTCCAAAGTGAACTTAAAAAGCCTTCAAGCTTAGACATTGAAGGTCCCTTAAAAGCCTTTACATTAACATCCAAAAATTTTGTGCATGAACTAATTGGCTTGAGTAATAATTATTTTACTATAGTGCGTGTATTAAGTTATATTTTTAGGTTTTCTAAGAATTGCAGAAATCCTACTGAAGGAGCTTCAGGACCTCTGAGCAATGAGGAGATCAACGCCTCCGAGCAGTTCCTGTTGAGAGTAATACAGAACGAGGAATTTGGATCAGAAATTCGGAGTCTCAAACTGCACGGGAAGGTGTCTCCTACGAGTAAGATAAGAAATTTGAACCCTCTTTTAGATTCAAATGAAGTTTTAAGAGTTGGAGGACGATTAGGTAACACTGAATTGAATTTTCTTAAAAAACATCCTGCAATACTCCCTAAAAATAGTCCTTTAACTTCTGTTATTATTTCGACATATCATCTTAAATATTTGCATATTGGTCCAAATGGTTTATTAAACTGTGTAAGAGAAAAATTTTGGCCCTTGTGTGGCCGTTCTCTATGTAGAAGAATTACTCATAATTGTGTTGTTTGTGTTAAAAATAAACCCATTGCTGCTACGCAAATAATGGGAAATCTACCTAGAGAAAGAGTTGTGCCAGATTTCGCATTCAATTGCTCTGGTGTTGACCTAACTGGTCCGTTTTTCATTAAATGTAAACATCAAAGAAAAGCAATTTCTCTAAAGGTGTATATTTGCTTATTCATATGTTTTGTATCTAAAGCAGTGCATATAGAGATAGTTTCTGATTTGACATCCGAGTCTCTAATTGCCACGTTGAAGAGATTCATCGCGCGTAGAGGCAAATGTGCCAAACTGTTTTCAGACAACGCGACGAATTTCGTTGGCGCTAACAAGGAGTTAAAAAAATGTTTAAATTTATTCAAAAATCCTGATGAAAAATTGGCTAACTATCTATCCGCTGAAAGCATAGAGTGGAGTTTTATCCCGCCTAGAGCCCCCAACTTTGGTGGTCTCTGGGAGGCAGCAATTAAGTCGTTTAAATACCATTTTAAAAGAGCTGTAGGTAATGCCTCTTTAACTTACATAGAATTGCATACTATAGCCACTCAAATTGAAAGCATTTTGAATAGTAGACCGATAACTCCCCTATCCGCGGATGAAACCGACTTAGAAGTTTTAACTCCTGCGCATTTCCTGATAGGGAGAACAATGAACGCCATAATTGAACCGGATTTGACAAATTTAAAGGAAAATAGGTTATCCAGGTGGCAAAGAATAACCAAATTAGTACAATTAATTTGGAGAAAGTGGCAACGAAGCTACCTAAGTGAACTGCAGCAACGTGGCAAGTGGAGATTCGAAAAGGACAATGTCAAAATCGGTAGTCTAGTCTTAATTATTGAGGATAATTTACCAGCTAATAAATGGTTAATGGGGAGAATAATTAAAGTGTTTTATGGCACTGATAAGAAAATCAGAGTTGTAGTTGTAGAGTTGTACCAAAAATACATTTTGAGCTATCGATTAGAGTGATCAAAAAACAGCATGCTCTTTCTGAAAACATATTTTTTAAACGAATAATATAGCTTCTCCTATGACTAATTCAACTATAGAATAAAGTATTGAGGTAAAATAAAATATTGTCAATATAAATAAATATTTTTCAAAATGTACTGATACATTTCTATAAGATGCGTAGCATTTAAATTGCACTATACTTTTTAACAAAAAAGTTTTCGTTATAAGTATTTTTATGTTCATATCAACTTGAGGTTTGTAATAAATGTTAAATTTCATTTAAATTCTATTTTCTATTTATTCTTAATTATATTTTATTCTTAATTATATTTTATTCTTTATTATTAGATTAATTCTTGATAATACATTTTAAGAAATATTTTATTTCATTTATTTAATTAAGATTTTTTTAATTTACCCTTTGATCGACTAATAAAATATTAATGATGTATCATTAGTATATATGTTAAATTATCAAATTAGAAAAAAACAAATAAAATTATTAATGAAATATCAAAAAATCATTCAATTTCTTATAATCATTTAAGTTATTAGTTTCTGTTTGATATAATATGTAACAATTTTTCTATTTTGGACGCATCTCAGAGAAAAAAGGTAAAAAAAAATTCTGATGTCAAAAATCAGGAAAAACATTCGTTTTCATGAAGCGAATTCTATGTGAAATTAACCCCGATTTAGTCATTGTTTTGTTCGATTTGATGAAAATTAACCGACTCGAGCAGCAAGCCCGACTTCAAAGGAACTTTCAACCTGTTTACCGCTGACAATATTTTGTAATCTCTGTGACTGAATAATTTTAGTCAATTTAAAATAAACCTTTATTTTCAAAAGCCATCCAAGGAATCGAATCATTATTAGAAAGGTTTATTTAATTTTGTATGATTCATTTTTTTATATAATTGAAAATATAATGAAAAAAAATTTATTTCGATTTTTAAAAAAAATTAATAAGTCCTTCGTATCAACCGAAATTATTACCTAAATGTATAGAAAAATTTCGCTTTATTATTCGATATAACGCGAATATACAAAGGGTTTTATGAATAAGTAAGTTCAAGTTTGTAATAATGTATGAGCGTTATTTTTTCTGTAAATGTTCTTATTAAATTGTTCTTGAATGTTTATTTTACTTTATTATTTCTTTTGATTGTGAAAAGTATTTTTTATTTGTTGTTCTTTAACTACAATTTCAAATGTATAAGTACATTCTGAAAAATCACTACTATTTAATCCTTGTAATGTGTTTAAGCAACAATAATAACGTAAAACATGTTTAACGCACTATTATCTTACAAAAATTAAAATTCCAGAAATTAAAATCTTTTTTAAAAAATATGTATAACAGCAATTATGAAATAGAGCAGGGCTTCCCTTTTTTTTCCCTGAGGAACCGTAAATGATCAAATAATTTTCGGTGGAACACAATTATCAGCACCTGAACCAATAAAATAATTTATTTTGAAAATAATTTAATATGAGAAAATGAAATTCTATTTTCTGTTTTATCATTACGTTGATTTTAATCTTATCTTTACCTTTGATCTTTAATCTTAATCTTTAATCTTAATCTTTAATCTTAATCTTTAATCTTAATCTTTAATATTAATCTTTAATCTTAATCTTTAATCTTAATCTATAATCTTAATCTATAATCTTAATCTATAATCTTAATCTGTAATCTTAATCTTAATCTTTCATCTTTCATCTTTAATCTTTCATCTTAATCTTTCATCTTAATCTTTCATCTTAATCTTTCATCTTAATCTTCCACCTTTAATCTGTATTTTACTTTTATTATTTTTATAAAGACATCTGAAATATTAAAAAGATTATGGAACATTGATTATATTAAAATATAATTAAAATTCTAAATAAAATTGCTAGTTGAAAAACTGAAACTAACTCTGAGAACTCCTTTCATTGACCCCTAGTTCTCGAAACAACGTTTTACTTTGAAATTTAGTAAGAATTTTTCTGGTGTGCTTTTGCTTAACGTAAATGGGCAGCGAAACGTAAAAAACTGAGTTTTTCAATAACTTTGACAGTGGAGAAATCTGAAAAGAAAAAAAGCCAAATGGAAATGAGTGCCTAACCATACCTGGAAAGCGATATGCTAATAATATAGCAAAAAGTAACTTTCCTGTATTGTTGTTATCTTTAGAGAAACACCATAAAACATTCTTATATTTAATTTTTTAAGAAATGAATTTGAACTTTGAAATTTTCTACAGGGGTGAGAAAATCTTTTAGAAACTTAAACTTGCACGGTATTCATTTTTTCTTATTTGCTTCAGTATTAGAAACGAAAATCAGAATTTCAGATTTTCGTCTGGTTTTCAAAATAATAACTCTTAATATACAAGAAAAATTTATTGACAAGTAAACAATGATAAATCCATACTTTTCAACTGCTTCGAAATAGGATTTAAAATTTAATAAGATAAGCTGTCATTCTGAACAGTTTAGACGGCCATTTATCTAGACGGCCAACACGCAGACATCTGGTTCAACTGCTGAAATTGGCGCAGGAATGATAGGCTTCCTATTAGTGCATTTTTAGAGGCTTACCTAGCAGAGTTTTATATATATAGAAATAAATAAAAGATACGTACTTTGCAAACTCTTGTACGTTTATCTGTCACTAAACAAAGTTCCCTTGAAGGTAAGAACCCGAGATACTTAGAGGAACACTCCTTACTATCAACAATGCGTGAAGTACCTTCACGAAGTTTTTGTTGTTTTTCTGAGAGAGGAAGAAACAGAATCGAAATAACAGAGAATTTTAAATTTTTTAGGTGATTTATACTATATATATATATATATATATACTATCTACCTGAGTTGAACAAAAATGTAATCGATTACATTTTTTTATTACAGTAATCAATTACTTACATATTTAGACATAAATGTAATGTACATATGCATGCGTGTAATGTATGTCCATATCTACAATGCATGTACAGACATCCATGCATTGTACATGCATATGTAGTACATATGGATATGCATACATGGAACAAACGTGCATTGTACATGTGCGGATACATTCATCGGACATAAATACATTGCACATATGCATAGATTGGGATAGCTTGCATGTACACATGCAAAATTTGTGCGAAAGAATTATGTCCAATATATTTATGCACATATGTACAGCATATGTACACGCATATGTACATTATATGAACATTATATGCTCCTTACATCATATGTACATTATATGAATGTACATCTGTTCACCATATGTATATACATCTGTACAATATATGCATCTTAAATGTGTGTATGTACATACGTTATGCATGTCGAATGTATGTAAGTACATATGTACAATATATGCATGCTGAATGTATGTATGAATATATGCAAAATATAAATACGCCCAATGTACGTACACAAATGTATTATGCATATTTGGATACATACATTGAGCATAAACATATTGCGTATGTGTACATCCATACGTAGGATGTGCATATCATGTACATGTATACATACATATATTGTGCATACTACATATATACCTATATTGTACATGTATCCATATATTATACTGTTCATAAATAAATTGTACATGCATGCATGGGACATACATTGTACAGACAATGTATGCATGTATGTTTGTGCAAACAACAAGTACTTGTATATATATGTGTACATGAACATGGATAAACATTTTACGTGCACAAATATTTGCATAAAATGCATATATTCATTGTGTATGAATGTACATGTCTGCATTGTTTGCACATACATACGTAAATATTAGCTATATACATACGCACATATATTTTATACTTACAATATAAGTATATGTACATGTGTGTGTAACTAAAATGTCTGTACATATGCACTAGATAAAATCATATGTACATACATTTTAGTTACATTCATTTGTACGTATACAAATACGTACAAAATGTATCATTATAAGATACATTATACTATCTACAGTAAAATATAATCATTTATAACAATACAATAGTATTGTAATCGTATAACAATAGTATTGTAATCGTGTTTTTAAATTACATGTAATCATAATTGCATGTAATCAAATTACATTTAATCATATATTATGATTACTTGTGATCACGATTACAAGTAATCGTGATTACAAGTAATTGATTACAGTAATTGGTTATGTAATCATGATTACAGTTGTAATCAAAATTTGTAATCACGATTACAAGTAATTGATTACTGTAATTGAAAAATGTAATCGATTACATTTTCACTCTACTCTGATGTAATCAAAACTTTTGATTACTTGCAATCGCGATTACTTGTAATCATGATTACAAGTAATTGACTACATAGCTGTAATTATCTGTACTCAATTACAGTTGTAATCGACTACTTTAATCGACGGCCAACTCTGCTATCTACCAATAAGTATTTGGACACCTATGCAAATGACTATATCTGCGGTCCTGAGATACGTCACGTCCTCCACCGGTATATATCGTGTAGGGCACAAGATCGGCATTAGTCCCATGCAAGATGCCTACTGCGCTATTTTAGATGACAACGTGCTTCCTACGTTGTGGCAGTTTTACGGGGTGGACCCCTGTTACTTCCAGAACGACATTGCCAGCTGTCCTGTTGCGAGGGTCACCAAGGCTTGGTATGGTGCCAATGGCGTTAATCGAAAGTTTTGGCCTGCCGCCCGGAGCCCAGAACTAAGCCCTATCGAGAACCTCTGGGAGGAGATGGATCATCGAATTAAGGGGTGTGCAACCCATCCAAACTCGGTGAATGTCTTCACCAAGCCGAGTGGAAGAAATTACCACTTGCCGTTACACAAGAACTTATGGAAAGTATGGCCCGGAGGGTTCAGGCTGTAATTGAGGCAAATGTAGCGTAGAGGCTTTATCAACTATTGATTATGAATAAAGTTTGTTTTTCTTTTCAATCACACGTGTCCAAATACTTATTGGTAGATAGTGAATATATATATATAATATATATCGCCTTTTTCACTCTGCTGCTTCTGGACACAGTACTTTGTGAGAGATGTTTAACTAATTATTATAAGCGAACTAATGATTCAATTACAATTGATTAAAAATGTTTTAAATTTTAAAATAAAATAGTTATTGCTATCTAATCAATCACAGTTAAAAGCGTTTTTTTTTCGTTCAATTCCTGGGAAATCTTAGTAATATCTAAACAAAAAATTATAATTGTTTTTATTTATAAGAGTTTTATATAATACTTTAAAAAAAGGTCTGTTTATGTTTTAAGAAAACTTCACTTGAAGTCTTTACAGTGATTTTTTTCATGACAAATTTAGAAAAATCTCATTGTGAAACAATAAGAAGAGAAGTAATCAAAGCAGAAATAATCATAATTAATTCAAAATATATAAATCGGTGTTAAAACGGTTGTTAAATTTCACGTCTAAAAGATAGGTTTAAGGAAAATTGGACAACTATACTTACTGAACATTTCTGTTCTACCGAAGCCAGCAATGTGCACTATATTGCCCACTGTAAGAATGCTTTTAGGTGGATTGACACAAATTGGTTTGCTGTACAGTGTGCAAGGAATGGAATCCTGTAGTTCTAAAAGGGCTACATCATTACCCTTCTTACTTAAACTATATTCAGGATGAATTATGACCTGTTTGACTAGTACTGTTTTAGCAGGTCGATATTTATCTTTGCCTAACAATCCAATTCGTAGGTTTTTCACTTTTAGGTGAAAAGGTGTAGGTTTTTTCCTAGTATAAAAGAAATACATATTTATTCATTCATTGGTATTATAAGCTAACGTATTAACACAACGAAACTTTGAAATGAATGTGTGTCGCGCAATATACAATGTGTCTTATTTAAATAAAGCCACCTAGATTTTCTTCCATAACTTGGCGCAAAGAAACCCCATGAGAACCAAACATATATATTAAAAACATTTACAACTAAACACATATTTTCTGGGTGTAACTCACTTTCTGTTCTATTTGGACAGGAAAAGACATCGAATGTGTAAAAAAAAGGAGGAAAAAGATTTTCCCGCCGAAATAAAAAGCACCCTCTGATTGCAGTTTATATTTTCCTTATGTTTAAATACGATTTGGAATATATGATGCTGCGTAAAATTTACTACAACCAGAAGACTTTATCGTTAATATTGTGCAAGGTTAAAAGAACAACTGCCATCAATTCTGAAACTGACAATTTTTGCCGTATCCTTCTGCCGTACAATCCTTCTGAGGATAGCTCCTAAGTTTTTTGGGGGATATAGGTCGCGTAAAAAGACAGGACATTCCTGACTTGCACCCCTGTACCCCAATGTTCTTACTTACTAACTCTGCTTACTCACTCGAAAAGATTTTGTAACGTAAATAGAAGCATGGTTCTGTTGGAAATTCCATTTTCGGCAACCTACCAATTCCTTCTCAACAACAACAAAAAAACAGATATAAGGGTGATTCTCACAAAACATGACAATTCACTGTCCCTTGCTCCAAGATCTAATACTATAATACTAAAAGAACTTTTCTTTAAAAAAAATTAATAAATAGCATTGCTATTAGCATTTTAAAATGACTTTGCACTAACGATATTCTTTGTGCTCGGAAATAAAATATTAATTGGATAGATTGAAAGATTCATTTCAAGAAGATTCATTACAGAGAAATTTGAGTGAAAATAGTCAAATAATTTTCAGAGAAAGGAATGTTTTCAGAAAAAATTAAATTGTAAATATTTATTTTTAACGAACTATTCAATCGAATGCCGTTAATTAGAATTACATATCCTTAAATGATTTGAACATTTTTTAACTTCATAATCAACAAACTTCTATAGGAAATTAAATAATTTAAAATCATATTTCTTTCTTGGAACTGTCTTTAGAGAAACGAATTTTATATCTTTGTTCTAAAAGTATTAAACTATCTTTAAGGTTTCTTTGATAAGGGAATTTCTCACAAAGAGAAATTAACATTAAGGAGCCCTAGCATTTTATAACTGCCGTTGAACAGCCTAACCAATATCAGGTTTCAGCTACTCCGTAGACTTGTAAATTTCAATCCAATCCAGAAGACAGGGGAACTTCTGGATCAAATATTGGGATCGTTCACCAAACATATCTATTAAGACTATATTTTCCCGATTGTTCTCCTCGTATTTTTTAAGGAGTCAAGTTTCAAAATCTGCCAAACAATTTTATACTTATTAAGGGAAATTATATTTTTTCAGACTGATTTCGTAGTATGAAATGACGTAACTCAATAATTAATTTAATTACACATAGTTATTAATTAAGGTTTCAATCCTTTGACGCAGATGGGACACCGGTTTCCCGCTTATTTATTTTTTCTGTCGCTCTAATTACAAGCGAAAATATATATTGTTATTATTTGATTGCAAAACAAATTCTAATTGCTGCTAAAAGTTATTTGCTAATTTATCGAAATTATATTTGTACTAACATATGATACTCTCAGAAAATAGTAGAAAATTTATTTATTTTCTTTCGTATTCAAAAATTTCGCTAAAAATGATTATGCAAACTAAGAAAATTTCAATGATGAATTACTGTTTCTCTTAGCTCTGAATAACTGCAAATATGTGCAAATTGGAGAAATTATTGTTTGGATGTGAGCCGTCTTCGTAAGATTTTACTTTTAACGCAGAAAAAGAATCCTGTATTCCAGGCTGTATTTCATAAATAAAATTATTAAAATTTTAAATACAACTTATTTGGACCTAAATAAATAAAATTAATTTCAAAAAAATATGAAAAATATGATCAATGAAATTTCTGCGTCAAAGGGATGATAACCATTAGGATTTATTTAGTACATGGAATTCTTACTACTTACAGGTATCTGCGAAAACAATGCGCTGCCGTTAAGACAAATGTTGGGGAAATTAAAGCTCCACCGCATGTACCCCATGGTGCCATTGATTTATCATGGATTATACAGACCTAAAAAGCAAATTCCTTATTTTTTAATCATGTTTCTAAAGGCAACAAAGAAATTCATTGTTTTTTGAGTTGAATGAATATATTTTTAATATTTTACTGAAGGCTCAGTGATCAGATAAAATAATGATATTTAGCAAATAATTTGATATAACTTAAAAATTTGTCACACAAATTCATTATTGTAAAATTTGGTTCATCTTTGTGCCCTACATTATACATGCTGATTATGAAAATGGTACATAATTTAAAGACGTAGAAAAACCGCATGACTTTAAATGTGAAAAAAATTGTGGGCTAGATTTTTTTCACTACGGGAATCGGCCCTGCATTGCTTAAGCTTGCAAAAGTTGAGAACTATTCATTGATTTTAATCGTATCCACCCAAGAGAAAAAAATGTCGGTGAATTTACTTTTAAGCTTAAGATGAACTAATAAATAGCTTAGATTTTTTTTTAAAAATTTATCTGATTCCAGGCAATTCTTTTTTACTAGTGAATACAAAGAGATTCAACACAGTTTTTGCATTTTGAAGGAGTGATAGGGCACACCATAATTGGTTTATAGTTGGATTTGGATAAGAATTGAGTTTGTAATTGTTATGCTGAATCACTCTGCATAATTTAGAGCTTTGCTTCGTATTCAGCATTCAAATTGTATTATTTTTTTTCTTACTTGGGGAAAGAATTTATTTAAAAGAACATCCTTGAGTGTTTGTGGCACAAGATATAAAGCGTTCGCCTCCATACGAGGTGAAAAAGGTTCAAATAAAAGCGATGGCTGATCGATACAAATTCTGCATCCACCTCAAACCAACCACATTGCTCATGTAAAATATCCTTATTGTATTGCCATCATTCATTCGAATCACTTGGGCCATCTAATTCATTCAATTTATTTTTATGTGTTTAATAATATTGGGTTGTTTATAAATCTTGTACAGTTCAAAGTTAAATCTCCTTTTCCAGTTATTGTTTTTATTTACACCACTAAGTATACTTCGCAAAATCTTTCTATCAAATATTGAGATACAATTTCCCTCCAGTTTTGTCTATTTTAGTTACCTTAACTTACTTTAACATTTTAAGCTTCCTTTAAAAATTGAACAAAAATAAAATCCTATTCCCTTCATATGTACTATTCACAAAAAAAATTTAATTCAATCGACAAATAAATTAATATAAGAAAACTTATAAGCAAAACTCATAAACAAACAGAATTGTTAAGCTTATAAGATTTCTTCAAACATTAAAAAAGAAATGCTTACAATCCAAGGATATTTTCTGTAATCTTTAACTGTTTTTCCATTAATAATGCGCTCTTCAGCAAAATCAGATACACCACATGCTGTAAAATTTAAGTTAAAAAAGAATTAATTTCGTAACTTTTGCACTGTAAACAAGAGATAAAAGAGACTCTCACAATAATAGAAAAAACTTTGAGGTTAAGAGTTGAAATGGGACAAACATTTTGTCAACTTCTGTTTGGTTTTAATGTATACATTTTAATGTACATTATTTTGGGTGGAAATTTTAGAAACGAATGTTAGAATTTTGCCAAACGAGCGGTAATAAATCATAAACTAGAGCTGTTTATCAGGCATTTAAAAAACACGTAATTTAAATAGAGAAATTATTTTTTACGACCAAGCAAAAGGATAATTTTTTATTTCTATAAAATAAAATGGAAATTTGTATTTTTAATAAAACTGAGAATAAATCTTTGCTATTTGCTCGTAACACAATGTTCAATCATAGTTTGTTCGAAATCAAACTTATTTTTGAAAACATGTTTAAACTTAGAAAACGATAACAAAAAAGCACTTGACAACGTTTGTTGAAAAAAATTTTGTTTTTCACATTCAGGGATATTTCTGATTTAATTTTATTCTTTAAGAATCTGGGTTTTTGCTTCATTCTTTTAAAGTAAAATATAACATATTTAAAAGCGTTTGTAGTTATTTTTTATAAAAATATTTTGTAGATTGCGCATGACTTGGAAGCATAATTTTTTATATCCTCTGAAAAATGAAAACTTTATTAAACTTAAGACAACATTTTACGGCAAACATATATTTTCTATAGTCAGCTTTAAAAATTAGCTTTTCTTAGGGAAAGAAATACAGTGCCCACCCCAAACGGCCCATAATTTTAAAACTATTTCGAAGTAGGCAGGAACATTTACAGATATTTCCAACTTTACATTCAGACGTTACATTCCACAAATTATTAATATATGAGCAAAGAAATCACATTTTTTTCACATATCTCTTTTCCAATCGAAAATGTCTTTGGATTCGAGAATAAGACAAAATCCATTGGCAAAATATCTTGCAACAAGTTATTTTCGTTAGTGTGAAGTTATAATTGAAAATTATACCTTCACCTTTTGATTCGCAACGTAAAATCACTTCGCCTTTTGATTTTTCATTCAGTGAAATAAGTGAAAACCACATGGTTCATCAAATTTTTACTTGCCCATGGCCTATTAGATTTTTACTTGTTTTCTATTCATTATTTTCTTTTCTCTTAATGGAAGCAAAAAAACTATTTATAACATTTTATGAAAATAAAAAAACAATTACATGTTACCTAAAACAATTATTAGTTATTTATTACAATGCCAACATATGCAATGTGTAAAAATCACTTTGCAATACGCAAAAAATTTTAAATATAGAAAATGCATTATTCGAAAACCTGTAATTTAAAATTCACAAAACTTGAGTCTCATTTACACATAAAAGTATTAAGGTATTAAAATTATATTGCTCACATGTACACAAGTAACGGAAAGAGTTGGTATTTTTTTCCTTCAAATTTCTTACACTTTTCCTTGCATTTCTTTTCTTTTTCTTTTTCTTTTTTTTTGTCTTTTTTATGTTATTTTCTTTTTTATTATTTTTCTTTTCTAGCTTTGAAGATTTCAAGAACTTAGCATTATCCTACCAGGACCCGCTGACTCTCTGCATATTTATCCCGTTCTGAGAATATAAGCACCATATATTAGTGATTTTTTTTGTGATTATGCTCTATAAAAACGTGTTTGTATGGACTTTAAATAACGAGGTGAAAACACCAACAGGCTCTATTAAACAAATGAGTCTTAACACAATCAACAATCAACTGAGTATTTACACAAGTAACTGTATTTATATGGCTGTAGTTTATTAATAATATTGAATCTAATAAAAAAAAATTTTAAACTCACGACATTTATTGAAATGACGGTGATGATGACCAGCCTTGTGATGTTTGATAGGATGTACTTTTCCTTTAACCTGAAAAAGTAAAATAAAAAGCATCGTTACAAAATGTTACGAAAAATCGAAGCAAGTTGAGTAATGAGAAAAATGCAATACACTAGTTGAGTTTATAGTTTAAATGAAGTAAACAAGCGATATGAAAACAAATGTGTAATCTTACAGACGTTGTCGAAAATATAAGAAATACTATTTTAACTATCAAAAGTAATTTTAAACATAAATATAACCATTACATAATTTGAGTTTTCTTATTCGTCCAAGCGGCATTACAAATTCAATACGTTCAACTTATTAAACTCTAATAATAAAACTTTCTGTTGTCAAATATTAATAATAAATATTTATTTTCTATTGCATCTATTTTCAAGACATGTCTTTACTTTTCTATATGTTTATTATTTTGCTTAAAATTAAATATCAAAAAATGTATAAAAATAATTCAAATTTTTAATAGCGAGAAGTTGGGCACCTACAACGGTTAAATACATCAAACTTAATGCAACAAACATCAAACATAAACTTAAATACATTAAACATAAATTATATGTTTGAGTATTCTTATTTGAATCCTATATCCATCAAGCGCAGATTAATTTAAGAGCAAGGCAAACAAAATTTCGTCTCGGCTCAACAAGGTAAATAAAACTGATTTGCAATCGAAATTCGATTTAAATTACAAATTACAAATGAACGTGCCATATGAATGTGAGGACTGTTTTTAACTTTCTAACGTAGAAACTTATTTACTTGATTGTGCTATCGTTTAGTTCATTAACAGAGTCATTAAACAAAATTTTTTAAACTTTATTTCTTGCAATAAAGTGTATTATTTACTGTTTTAAATCTGTGTATCCTATAAACTTAAAGAAATTTTTATCAGTTTAAGTATGCTTTATTTTGGCGAAAAAAATTAATTCTCTCGAAATAAAATGTTTTACTTGTTAACGCAACGATAAGGAAAAGTTACTAAAATTGTTTTATTATCCAGTAATAGCGCAAATGGGCCAAATATCATAGTTGTTTTGTTTAATATGTTAGCACATTATACACTGAATATTTCAATAACAATTTAACCTTGATACCCATACTGGTCAAGATATCTGAGATTACCCACATTGGTCAAGAGATGTGAAAGCCACGTAAAAGATAAAAATTAAATCGGAAGCAGCTAGTAATTTAATAGCAGGTCAGTTGGACATTTTGGGTCTATAAAACGAATATTTATATGAAAAATTTAAATTCTGCGAGCTCTGGATAGATGACCAGTTTTAACTAAATTACCTTTTTTGAAAAATAAACACAATGTATGAGTGATTAAAGAAAAATAGTATCTAATCAGTTTTTTTCTTCCTTTTTTGCGGGAGATGGAGAGTAAATGCTTGAATGGATTTCCGAATACAATAAGTCTTCTATACAGAACTCAGAAAGAAAAACTTATATATCTGTTTTACTTTAACTGCAATGAGGATTCAATTCTAAGAAATGGGAAATAGATCAAAATATTAATTTTATTTAATAGTTTGATAAGTTTTATGTCGTAAAACAGCAAATATCCTAGAAAAGAAATTGTATTTCCTAGAAAAGAAATGAGAATGAACAGTTTGATGTTTAAAATAATCATGAAAAAACTAAAATATTTAAATTAATGTAGGCATACGTTTTCAATTCAGAAAAATCTACGACATTTTTTTAAAACTAAAAGCAAATTTAATTTTGTTTTGAAAGCTAAATAATAATTTACAAGAATCTAAAAGAAAAGAAAATTAAGAATTAATGTTTTTTTTTTTCTTTTTTTTTTAATATTTAGAGGATAAAGTTCAGCTCCAATTTTAAAACGATCAACAATCTTTAGAAAGAAGCCATAGTTCGTCTGTTTGTGTACACTGTTTATCTTAATATCTAATATCTTAAAAATTAATATATATACAAGAAAGGAAAACAAAATTTTACTCACACATAAAAATATTGTTAATAACAAGGAAATACGTAAAACTAACATGTTTAAATAGTTTTTATGGCATGAAGCTTTCGAATAAAATATTTTATAAATTGTTTTGTTATTTAATTCGATTCTCCTATTCCAAAATACAATTTCCGTGAAAAGACATATTATCCTCTGCAATATACTCTCGTTAAAAGTCCTCAGCCCCAATTTTTTTCATTGTTTTTATAAATTTCTTGGAACTATTTCTGTTGGCATTGTTGATTTACATTTGATATTAATTTTAAGTGAAGCTTCGGTATTCGCTTAAAAAACTCATAAATAACTTCAAAAACTCTTTTTCATTCAAAATCACGAAACAAGTATAATTATTTCGAATTACCTAGAACTAAATCACAGATTGTGTTAAGACTCATTTGTTTAATAGTGCCTGTTGGTATTTTCGCTTCGTTATTGAAATAATGATACATTTAAAATTAAAAAGAAGATTTTGGATCCTATATCCTTTCTAATATTCATTTGACTTTTCTCTTCGATGACAAATTCTTAGGATTGTAGTCAATTCCCTAAAGATTTCAATAATTAAGAAACTGATAGTTAAATAGAGAAATCGAAGATTGAAAAATCAGATACATAAAACTCCATTTCTCAGGAATTGATTAATTTCGTTCAAATTTTCTATTTTGCCTTATAAAATTACACTCTTGAAAATATATACCTGGCAGTTCGAAACATTTTCTACTCTAATTCAATAAATAGAAAAATAACAATTGTTATTGAAAATTGATTTTTGATAGAAACTATCATTGTGTAAGTAGATTTTATAATTGTGTGTAAGTAAATTAAAAAAAATTTGAGACATGATAAAGTACGCAGAAAGAAAAATGAGCATTAAGGGGTCCAAACTTTCGACCCCTCTTCTGCCGAAATTTTTAGGACCACATTTCCCAGATTGTGACTCCTCTCTACATTTTGGAAATAAAAGATTCGAATCAATCGAAAAAATGGTATGAACACTCAGAAAAACTTCATTGTATGTCTGATTTTGTATCTTAAAATATTGTATGCACTAATCAGTTTGCATATTTGAGGTCAATGCCTTGAATTATTAAGATTGAGTCTTAGAACATGAAGATCCGATTATTAGAACAAACGTTATTCGGGTTGATTTTATTTTAAGCCTGCCGTACACTGATTTTTACTGTTAATCCTCACTACTGGGCAACGTGTTCCTTCGTTTTCTCTCCAAGTTAAACTATATACATTTCAATCTTTTCCTATTCTCTCAATCATCCGTATAATATGATGAACGGGAGAAGAAACCGTGTAAAGCCTCATGTGTTCAGTTAAATTTTCATGACTATGATTCGACACACATTCTATACATTTATAGTTCAGGTGAATAAGTTTATAATACCTCTCAGAAGAATACTAAGATAAATAAAGTATACAGGTAAAGGAATTTCTGTTTCGAAGCTTTCCTATAGGCTTTTTACTACTTTACATCTCCTACGCTGAAAGACCAATTTCGATAAAGAGCGCAGAAGTCAAAAATACTGTTCCCCTCATCCTCGTAAGACTTAATCCGTTGCCCTCTCTGATCGCCTCAACTTTAGTAGCTTTACTTTATGCAATAATTATTTATAATTATCGTTTTCCACTATTGAAGATAGAACTTCTACACAAGTATTCGCTTGGAATTGTGAACTGCGTTGTTTTGGTAAAAGTAATGAATATTTTTAACCCCTTTCTTCATTTACTTCTAAAAACAGCCAATAAGAAAATTTATAAACTGCTCTTACTGAAACATTAGTGGACGATTAAGCTTTCTGTAGATTCCAATAAATGCAGGTCATTTCAGTTATTTGCATTGAATTTCCGATAATTCCTCATTTCTCTCTGATCGCCTCAACTTTAACCCTTTCGGGACGGGCGAGTCATAAATGTATTCGTAAGGAATCAGTATCAGGATAGTAAAAAATAATAAGCGGTAGCTTAAGTTTCAGTTTAGCTAATTTGACAGATTTTTGTTTGCTTTCACTTTAAATCTAACACATCCAATCCATGTGTGTTAAAAGTGTAACTATACAATTTTAAATTCTAACTAAGTAGTGATGAATTAAATAAAGCAAACTATCATTACCTCGCCCACAAATAAACTGCTAAATATTTAGTTTGAATACCAGTTTTATCTTCTTACCCTGACTGATACGGTATTAAGCTGGGACGTATTTGTGACATTCGGCGCGAAAGGGTTAATTGCCTCACTCTACACAATTATCTCTTTAAGGTTACAGGGGACCTTAAAAACCCACTTTCAGAGCTTTTATGCTACATTTATGAAACTCACAGTATTTACTTATAATATCTTTAAAAAGCTGTATACAAAATTTCATGTAGTTTGATTTATAATTTTTAAAGTTATTGAACTTTTAAAATAGCATAAAATCCGATAAAGTCAAAACACTCCACGCTGCTTAAAATTCACCGCAGAATCATACTTTTTCTTTATATGACTAGTTTTTGATTTCCAAATAAAAGTTACCATCATTCAGTGGCTAATTATATTGCTCTAGCTCAAAAAACAAATTTTTTATGTATTTCATGAAAATTTCATGAAAAATTTTAAAAATCTTAAACTTTTTTTACTACAAACAAAGTTTATCAATGTTCTAGGTAACAAAACATGGTAAGTTTTAATTACATACATACATAGTACACATAAAACAAGTTTCAACCAAAAAAAATAATAAAATTGAGACTCATGGAGCATTTCGAAAACACCAAAATCCGTCAAAATTTCATTTTGAGAAAATAGCATTTTTTTTTAAATGTAATTAAAATAACACTATTAGCTGTGTATAATATCTAAAAAAATGACTAATTAAGCATATATCTGTACTTTTATCTCCATTATTATGTTGAAATGGATGAAAATTCAACTTAATATGTGCCTATGAAAAGGAATACACAAACGTACTCAGCAAGCATATTTACTTATTCAAAATTTAACGCAAATAAATTCACTAAAGTAATAACATAAAATAAGTTAGTAAGCATGAAATTAATTTATTTTAAAAAATATGAATGATATATC